TGATGCACATGACATACGTAACACGCCTGAACCTGAATGTGACTCTGCCTTGATACGACTGCTCTGCCGCTCGGCATAGGCATTTAATTGCGAATTGACCAATGAGGGCTCCTGTTTTACGTCGAGACGGCGGCGTTAGCGTGAAAATCACCCGAACCTTTTGTTTACATCCGGTCTATCTCTTATCTGAATATACTGTAGGGTGAATGTTCCAGTAACCCGGACCCTACCAGTAGTGGTACAAAATGTTATATTATTGGTAAAAACTGCAATATTTGAAATCCTATACTTGCTGGTAGTTGGTAACAGATTTATCAACTAATTTGTGACAGTTTAAAAACATTTCACATCCACAGTTATCATACTGACAGCAGTATAAGAACGTCAAACACAGTGTGCATTCGATTACTTAGAATGACATCAAATTTAAAGGCAAGTAGAATCGTCAGCTGAAAATGTATAAATTCTGTTCTTGTTACAATCATTCAAAATTTACAAAATAAATTAATATGTTATTTTCGAATTGGAGTGGCCGCTGACTGGATCATCATACTAGTCCAAATCCAATAGTCGTTCACATGGCGAGGTCGTTATCAATCTTTTTCTCTTTAAAAATAGAAACTATCAAACTTTTCTCTTAAACAAACCAAAATACTACTGAAGCACCAGCCAGTGGACGGACAGCGAAAGATAACAGATAATGTGGATTATGGCCAGTGATATTGTGTTCGACTACTGGAATGTACGAATTTTCATAGCATCCCAATAACCAGCGATATCTATTTTTCCGCCATTTTTTCACGAGACTGAAATAAAATTTCACATTTCCACTTCATTCTGGAATTGATACCAACAAAAAAAATAAATTATTTATACAGGGTGATTCCGGACATCTACCGTGTGTTCTTTTCCTATAAACCTCTTGCAGATAGCCATTAAGCACCTACTTGATGTTAGGCTCTACCAAAAATTTCATAGATATTGCTCGTTTCCAAACATTCATTCATTTACTTGCCGTTCATCAGTACCATTATAGCACCGTCGATTGATATTTCCACAAAACCATTCAGGATTTTTGATATCCAAACATCCATAGTCAAATATTTTTTGGTTGTTCAGGAACTGAACAGACATCCACACTATATTTACAGCGATTAAGAAATACTCAAATAAACATATGTCGTAAAGCTATCGGCAAACTTAAAACCTACAAAAAATATAATTTGCAATAACTTTCTTGTTTCACTGAGTACACATTCTAGGTTATATCTATACTAAGTGACACATAAATCCGAACACCCAGTTTAAATGGTTTTATTTTAATAAGATTTTGTACAAGTACTTAATGAAGCATAATAAGTAAATGATAAAAATTTCAAAATGATTGCACTGCTTTAAGACCCTTCGACCTTTAATAATGTGTGGATGCACCCTGATGTGCTACGCATTCTCCAACGCGCCTAGGCATGCTTCTGATCAGGTGGTCAATGTCCTCCTGTGGTATCTCATTCCAGGCAACCACCAACTCCTCTCGAAGTGCTTCTAGAGTCTGAGGAGGACGTTGCAAATTGAGCAATCTCCTACCCATCCTATCCCACACGTGCTCAATTGGGGATAAGTCGGGAGATCTTGGTGGCCATGGTAACAATGTGACATCATTATGTTGAAAGAAGTCTATTGTGACTCTTGCAACGTATGGTCGGGCATTATCTTGTTGGAAAGTTGGATCTGCCAGGGTGTCAAGATAGGGTAAAAGATGGGGTTCTAGAACTTCGTGGATATTACGCTGCGCGTTCATATTACCTCTGATAAAGATTAAAGGTGACCTGGAACCATAAGCTATAGCACCCCAAACCATAACTCCAACAGTGTGATGAACATGTCTTTCAACAAAAAACTGTGGATTCCTCCTTTCACCACGTCGCCTTTTAACCCTGGCACGACCATCGTGCATGCCTAAACAAAATCGAGACTCGTCACTAAAGATAATACTGTTCCATTCCTGATCCCAGAGTGACCGTTGTCTGCACCACTCAAGGCGATTACGTCGGTGTTCTCGAGTTAAAGGGAGGACCCAGTGTGGTCGGTATGAAAACAAGCCAAAACTTCTCATTCGTCGGTAAACACTTCGCATGCCAATAGGTCTTCCGCGTTCTGCAAACCATTCATTTGCAATGGACCTGGTAGTGGAGAAACGGTCCCTTAAGGCCAATAATCTTAGGCGGCGATGTTCACGGTCTGTTGTTCTACGGCGGCGTCCAGTGCCCCTTGCTCTTTGCGTACGGCCTTCTCGAGGCCATGCCTGACAACACCTAACCACAGTGTCTACACTTCTTTGCACTTTAACTGCAATTGCCCGAAAAGAAAGTCCAGCTTGCCGAAGTCCCACTATACGGCCCCTATCAAACTCACTAAGTTGACGAAATCGTACAGGTCTCCGTACTCTAGGCATCGTAACCGATCGTAAAGGATGTCAAGAACCAAAATCCGTCAACGTTGATTCTTTACTGCGGCTGAAATATTCATTTTTAGAGCGTTAGTGAATTAAAAAAAGCAGTATAAAAACCGGAATGTCCAACTGATAAGGCTGCAAATTTTTTCACTTGTTATTTACAGTAAGATAAATACATTCACCAACATTTATTAAAATAAAACCATTCAAACTGGGTGTTCGGATTTATATGTCACTTAGTATATATTAGACATTATATAACAGCTGATTATTACATTTCAAAACTCCCCAACGAATGACACATGTGTGGGATCGGTCAACCGTCAACCCTTGGTCCCAGTGGAGTAAGCTCCGCCAACTGTTGAAATATACTCTACTATGCTTTATAAGACTATACGTGGAATTTTTCCCAAAATCTTTGCACAACACTTGAAAAAATGCAAATGAAAATTTAAAATTATTTCCATGATGCCGCCAAATAGCTCCGTCGGTACCTCGGGTTATACATCTTGACAGTAGGGATGTTCGATACGATCCTATATTTAATGCAAGAAGGAAATTTTCAAGAGCACTTTGGTTTCAACTGCTGCTAGAAGAAGCTATTGCTACTGTAGAGCGTAGCATCGAGGAAGACCCGAATGAGTCCATCCGCCATCGATCATAGGAATTGGATCTGTGTCCATCCACTGTATGGAAGATTTTGTAGAAGGATCTTGGTTTGTGTGCTTACAATAATCCAACTCATGCAAGAATTGAAGCCAAACGATCATCAAGCAAGGCGTAGATTCGTTGAATGGGCCCAAAACGAGATTGCCGTTGCTCCCGATTTTCATAAGTGAATTTTGTTTAGCGATGAAGCGCACTTCTGGTTGAATGGCTACGTCAACAAACAAAACTGCCGCATTTGGAGTGAAGCTAATCCTCAAGTCTATGTAGAAACACCGTTACATCCAGAAAAACTGACTGTTTGGTGCGCTTTATGGGCTGGTGGAATCATTGGTCCGTACTACAGAATGTTACAGTCAATGGTGATCGGTATAGAGCCATGATTACTAACTTTTTCATTCCTGAATTGAATAATCATGATGTCCAGGAGCTGTGGTTCTAACAAGACGGCGCAACATGTCACACAGCTCGTGCTACAATCGATTTATTGAAAGACACGTTTGGTGACCGCCTAATTTCACGTTTTGGCCCTGTGAATTGGCCTCCAAGATCTTGTGATTTAATACCGCTTGACTATTTTCTGTGGGGCTATGTAAAGTCATTGGTCTATGCGGATAAGCCATAAACGCTTGACCATTTGGAAGACAACATTCGCCGTGTTATTGCCGAGATACGGCCACAAATGTTGGAAAAGTCATCGAAAATTGGACGTCCAGATTGGACTACATCCGAGCCAGCCGTGGCAGTCATATGCCAGAAACCATATTTAAACTGTAATGCCACAAGATTATCTTTCGAATAAAAAAAGTCATGTCATGTTCTATACCTCTAAAAAAAACACAATTTACATTGGGATAATTTGGGACGCTAATAACAAATATAGCCATCAAAAAATACTGATGACGTGCAGGAATTGAGAGTGATAAGCCGATCTGTGCCGGTGAGCTGGAAAAAAAGAAGACTAGAGGCTAGGTTATCACTGCTGGGGTAGCCAACAATCTTGCACAGTTTAATGCTTCCAAAACAGAGTACTGTACATTGACGAATAAAAAGCGGCATAGCGCTCATCCGGTTTCGATGGATGACCGAGCTCTGCCAAAGAGCCGTTCATTTGGCTGGTCTGAGTCCACACCACCGTGGACTTGATCTCGTCAATAGCGGCAACTGCTGAGAATAAGCTAGGCTGTTTATTTAGGACTAAGAAGTACTTTTCTCCACATGATAGATAAGATCTAGCTTCGAGTATTGCTCACATGTTTGGGGTGCTGCTACCTCGACTACATTATCCAGGCTGTGCGACTGATCAATGACTCTTCTCTAACCGACAGCCTCGGGACCATTTCGCCCCGGCGGGCCGTCGGCGATCTAGCTCTCTTCTCCCGCTACGATAATGGGCTTTGCTCCATGATGCCGCCGCGCGATCTGCCTGTCCGACGGACCCTTCTGACTTCGACCTCCCATCCTAACCGTGTCGAACTTCGTACATTAAGAACTGGCCGATACGACCGTTCCTCTGACCCTAGGGTGTCGAGATTGTGGAAGAATCTACAAAAGGAGGCTTTTCCTAGTTCCACTAACCTTAGGCAGTTTAAAAGTAGGATTAACAAAGGTGGTGCCCTGGATTTAGGCTTCTTCATACGCGGTTGCTTCTGTGTAAAAAAGCCTCATTTGGACTAAGAAAATGGGACTTTCGAAGTAGAGGGGCGCTAAGTTTGACATCCAGTGTCTTTTATTACTCGGTCCAGATGTGTGGTCAAAATAACAGCGATTATTTCTAGAGATTCCAAAGAAAAAATAGTTCACTCCGAATTATGATATATATCTCTGTAGTTCTTTCGATACAGCTTGTCAAAGCCATTGAAAAAATGTTTGTTTCCTATAGCTGCCAAAGCTACAGATGTAGATTTAGGGCCTTTGCCAGAAGGATGGGAGCAAGCGCAGACTCCGGAAGGGGAAATATATTTCATAAACCATCAAACACGCACTACGTCATGGTTTGACCCCAGGATTCGTAAGTATAGCATACTTCAAACCGTCTACAGGGTGTTCCTTAAGTATATCGAAGCAATGTTGACTATTTTTTAACCCGGGTTTAAGTAGCTATTATGATACTATTACCAAAGAATACAAAGTTACCAGTAGAAGGGCCCACTCGCGAAAAAGCGTTTGATCTGCCGAATTCTACAGATTCCGACATTTTACTAGAAAGGTGCCTCACTTGAAGAGGTCCCGCACTTTTTTTATTGCTTTATACAGGGTCCGTTAGAAAGAACGCATGTTTTTCGAATGGGTACTACATCGAGTGGGCTGGTCCCGTGACGGTGGGGAAGGGCATGTTGGATAGTGGGAGAAGTGCCGTTTCAGTTGGCAAGATGGTTTGGAACGTTGAGCATCGTGTGTTCACTGTACGTCGGTACTTTCAAAATGGCACTTTCATGTTCCTCGTCGTGGGACAGTACCAGACCGTAACACCGCCAGGGCGAAACCGTACTGTTAGAACCCCCGAAAACGTAGACAGAGTGAGAGTTGACACGCTGCAAAGCCCGAATCGTTCCGTCCGTTTGCGTGCCAGTTCCCTAGGGATCCACGCGTCCTCTGTACGTCGCATCTTGAAGAAGGATGTAGTGTTCCATCCTTACAAAATCCAAGTTTGTCAACAACTGTTGCCAGGGGATTATGCACAACGTGTTAATTTTGCACAGCTCATGATTGAACTGTTGTTTATGGGTGATAAATCACATTTTCATTTACATGGATACGTCAATAAACAAAATTGTCGATATTGGTCTACATTGAACCCCCAACAGTTGCATGAGCACCCCCTGCATACCCCCAAAGGTACAGTTTGGTGTGCAGTACACATGCTGAACAACTTTTTTTTCCGGAACTTCGACGTCGACGTGTCCGTCTCAGAACAGTGTGGTTCCAACAAGACGGGGAAACATCTCACATAGCTCGCACTTCGATGGAACTTCTTCGACAAAAATGCCCAGGACGTCTCATTTCATGTCATGGCGATATTTCTTGGCCCCCTCGCTCCCCGGACATGTCAACGTGTGATTTTCATTATGGGGCTACCTGAAGGAGGAAATAAGAAGAGAAGTAACCCAAATTCCTGCACGGATGCTGGCCGATGCAATGGACTCATTTCGGGAGAGACTTGATTCCTGCATTTCGGCTCAAGGGCGCCATATGCCCGACATAGTTTTTAGAACGTAAATTTTGTTTTACTCAAAAAATGGCATGTATTTCTGCGTAATTTGATATAACAAAATATTTTCCTATACTTATTTTGCCTGTACTACTCATTTAAAAAACATGCGTTCTTTCTGACGGGCCCTGTACAGGACAGTGCTGACGTACTTTGGCGCACGTACGGAATAGGTTGTCAAAAAATTGCTTATGATAGCATCGAAAACTTGTATTTATACAGGATGATTCATGGCATTATTGTTTTTATGGAATTCTTTGCTTGAAAAAAGTGCTTTCAGCCTCAACGTCACTGACTGGCGAACTGTCTTCGTTGTCATTGCGTATCCTCAGTACCACTGTGCCAATTTTGCCAAAACTTGTAATATACTGTATGGTCACAAGTTTGAAAATGGATGGAAGGCCGGTGAGTTAAGTCAAAAACATGTTTTTTCAATTTCCTTATCTGTAGTCAGGTGGAAAACTGAAATAACACAGCCCAGACTGTCATCTGCTACCAGCATTAGCTTTATTTGCATTAGTAGTATATTTGAATTGAAAATAAATGCGGAATTATTTATAAAGAGAATAAAAATGATCAGCAGAAAACTGTTCACATGGGTGAGTGAAACGGACGTCCAAAACTTCAGTTTTCAGTCGTTTTCCTACGTTGTCTACATAAGCCAGCTCCACCAAGTTCTTTGTAAAGATTTCTTACAATCCCGTAACAAATTCAACGATGTGATATCGAGTGTTTGCCACTGTAACACTCATGAATCATAGATAAGATACATTTTATAGTAGTATCTTCGCATCTGCTTAGAAAAATATTTTGATTGTTTTTTCGCATAATTTCATTCAAAAAATGTAACGTTTGACGAATCTAATCAGAATATTTTTCCGAGCAGATGCTAAGATATTTCCTGGATTATTACCGCAGGTAATGTATGGGTGATCGCATCCAGGTAGCATTTGAGCCACCGCGGCAGAATGTTTTTTTTTTGACGGAGTGGCTCTTCTACTGGTAACTGTATTCTTTGTTATTACTCGACAAGATAAACCTACGCGTACGCGATCAATGTCTTCCGCATGCGTGGCGTCACTCCGTGACAAAATTCCCCAGAGACGGATGGCAATCATTCGGTTTTATATATGGCGCTTTAGCCCGTAATTTGTGATGTATTTCAAATAAGAGCAAGATTCCTCGGCGTATGTTCTGTGTCGCTATGAGGCATTGAGCTACTTCAGGTAGACTATACTGGGGTCCAACACTTTGGATGCCCAGAATGTTAACGAGCTGCGACTCGAGGCATGTTCATCTTTGCTAGAAGGACGGAGTTTGATGCTTAGGGAATGTAGAGCTGCATAAAGTCCCGTTATGTGGCCTATGCGCCGGCTCCTAATTTCTTTATTCATTTATTCATTCATGCCTCCACCAATAACAACGTATCTGTTGCCGGGGCAGAGGGTCATTCACAATCCAAGGGTAATATTATAGCTGATATACTGGCATAGGGCTGCTGATATCAAAATTCTAGGTCCAGAGCCCCACTGCAGCTTATCCATCGGAGCCTCGACACTGTGCACAATCTTCAAGAACCTTTACGCTGATACGTCGGGCTGCTTATACGAGGGCGGTCCGATGAGTACTTAGTCTCCGCCCGATGGCGTCACTATCGCAAGAGACACTTATTATCGTGCAGTACATTCTCGTAGACTACTACTTTCAAAATTTCAGCCGAATTGGACAAGTAGTTCTATCCTAGTAAGGTAGTAGCAAAATACTACATGTCTTTGTCCAGACAACAACTTCGGTTTGCGACTGGACACTGTCAGCTTAGGAAATATCCCTGTAACATTCGAATGACACATTCTTATGTAGAGAATGTGAACAGGAAGATGAGACCTGGTTTGCGACTGCCCAGGTGTCCCATCAATTCGAGAATCCATTATGGGGGAACGCTGGCCTTCTATGACCAGCATAAGTCCCATCACCACGTTTCCCAACAGTGAGGGGTGGCTGATGATCCCGACTTGAGCGAACCCTGGGAGGACTTACAAGAGTCCCAACGGGGCCTAAGTGCTGTGATCTTTTCTGATCGCCTTCCTCCTATACAAAATACAGAACCCCAGAGTCACTTTTCAAGCAAAATCAATATGACTTGAATGATACTTTTTTTTCCAAAACCATTCGCGAACAATTCTTTGCTAAAAACAAGTGTAAATAATAATAATTAATAGTCCAAAGTACTGATTTGATCATTGAAAAATTTTTGGTATGCATTTCTTTGTATGTCAATGATTGAATGTCAACTTTCTGATGTACATCGAACATCCTGTATCTCGGAAAAGAAGTTGCCCGGCTTTGCAGATTTTGTGACCTTTTTCTCTTAGGAATTTTCAAGGACGAACGACGTGTATTTTGTCGATATACTTAAGGAACACTATCATGGATCCATCTTGTCCTCTCCAGCCTAATTTTTGTTTCAGGGTGTTTTCGTAAAAAGTAAACAAATGGCTTGAAGGTTTTCTTAATTCTTATTTTTGATACAAAATAAAATGTGGTGAGAAACCATTAATACGACGAAAAACACAGTGATGTTAAATTTTAAACCAAATATTTAAAAATCAAGATGGCTGATTTTCTTCAAATTTTCAAGCTTGATGTCAGTTTTTAAAACATCAGATTTTTATTGTCAGTGTAAAGCTTTTATAGCCGTTCTCAGACAACTCGTCCTATAGGTCGTTACCACCCGACGTGTGAGAATCTGCGAAATGAATCCCACCACGGTATTGCTTGCAGCAGTATACAGGGTGACTTTGAAGTTGAGTCATTAATTTTCAGAAGGAAGATAAACCAAACTATGTGGGTAAAAATAAAAAAAAATTAAAAAAAAATGTTACCTTGTTTTATAAAGTATCCTCCCGACAAGTATTTCAGTGCGGACCTGTATTTGATCGTGCGGTCTTGGAGCACCGGCATGCCCTCCCCTGTGAGGTCTTAAGTCACCTGATTCACGAGCCCTTTGTACTACATTAACAAAGGCACGAGGGGTTGGTTGCACTCGATTGGGAAACCGATCCGCATAAATCCGTGATGCCGCGTAAATAAGAATCATGTCCACAAGTTCAGCATTTTCGTAAGCATGTGCCATTTTTGATTTCGTTTGAGCCACGCAACAGACACCACTATTCACTCACGCGTTACCGACTGACACTGACTGTATACAACTGAATAAAATAATTGTAAAAACATCATTCCAAATTCTTTCGCTTTTTTGTTTCCGATGCGATGAACCGATAAGGCGGATTATATCCGTTGTTGCCAAACACGAGCACATAATATTATTATTGAGACAGGGCGGTACTCAAACTTCCAAAGGGCTATAACTTTGTTACTTTAATTTTACCAGAAAAATGGTAAAGGAAAAAACATTTCTTTTGATCAGACCTACTCACTGTTAAAATAAATGACTCAACTTCGAAGTCACCCTGTATATTCAGTAATGAAATAATTCCATCAACGCAGTCGGGTGTCAGTAAAAGCCATAGCACAACAACGGCTGTAGCCAACATGATGTTATAAGAGGCCTTGATCAAGGATATGTCACTTTTTTGGTTCTGCTAGATTACACAGTGATAGACCCTGAAATTTTGATAGATACTTAAGCTGTTTTACTATGGTTTTATTGACGCTGCAGTCAATTTGATACGCTGTTATCTGTCAAATAGGAACCAAAACGTTCTATTAGCTTCGAACATGTCGGAACCAGCTGCTATAAAATATGGTGTTCCTCAAGGTTCCTTCAAGAGTCCTTTACTTTTCTCTCTGTATATATCAGATTTCCATCAATATCTCCATAGATGTACAATCCATCACTTTGCAGATGATACTCCAATATATTTTAGTTTTAAAATGGCAGAGGCATTAATTAACCAAGATTTAACAGGGCTAGTAGACATTTCGAGCTCGCATAACCTAAGAATTAATCTAAGGCCCATATCGGCAGTTGTACCTACAATTGTAAGACGCCTTTATCTCCCCCTTGATTTCCATGGTATTTTCCCTTCTTCAAAAAGGCCGGGGTATTTCTAGATTTCTACTATTCCGTGTCAGCGTCAGCGCTTCTCTATTGTGAGGGGCTGTTTTCTTTTTGAATTGTAAGACATTTCAGGCTGATATAGCAGATGATTTACATCAAAGTCATGAACAATTTGATGCAAATAGATACTTGTAACATAACCTCAAAATAGAGCGCTGACACGGAACAGTAGAAAAAAGGCGTGCACAATTTTAGGAACGACTGACGATACGGCTCATAAACTAAAATTGCACGACGAGGTCTGATGATGATCACAAAATGCTGGAAATATGGACTATTCTTGTAATTTTTTATATTTTTTGTGTGTTGTTAATTAATTAGTTAATAGTTCAGTATATTATTATATTTTTTATTTGTTCCGAAGGTTAAGTACTTTTGTACGAAATAAAGCCCATTTATTATTATTTCGTCACGTTACGTTAGATCTGGAGAGGGCAGGATAGGGCTAACTGCAGGACGGCTTTCTATCATGTTGGTCATATAATTCTCCTTTACAGCCACACATCTACAACAAAGATCTTCAGGAGGCGTGGTAGGATCAACATGGCATGCCACTACACTTTCGTCATCACCTGCTAAGCAACAACAGATGAGGCTCCAGCAATTGCAGATGGAACGCGAAAGACTCAAGCAAAGACAACAAGAAATCAGGAGACAGCAAGAGATCATGATGAGAAGTACAAGTGACTTGCCAGTTATTGATCCGTTCCTGTCCAGTCTTACAGATCACTCTCGTCAAGAGTCCGGAGACAGTGGGCTTGGTAAGTCCAAGAAATGTACATTTTCATTACTCTTGGCTTCAAGAGAACGAAACTTTATCCACTCAAGTAATATGGCGTTTTCAAAATTGACAAGTGAATTTGGGGTATAAAATAAGCCTCCTGGGACTGCCGTCAATCATATGCGCGATTTTGACTTACTATACTAAGTGACATATAAATCCGAACACCCAGTTTAAATGGTTTTATTTTAATAAAATTTTGTATAAGTACTTAATGAAGCATAATAAGTAAATGATAAAAATTTCAAAATGATTGCACTGCTTTAAAGCCCTTTGACCTTTAATAATGTGTGGATGCACCCTGATGTGCTTCGCATTCTCCAACGCGCCTAGGCATGCTTCTGATCTGGTGGTCAATGTCCTCCTGTGGTATCTCATTCCAGGCCATGGTAACAATGTGACATCATTATGTTGAAAGAAGTCTATTGTGACTCTTGCAACATGTGGTCGGGCATTATCTTGTTGGAAAGTTGGATCTGCCAGGGTGTCAAGATAGGGTAAAAGATGGGGTTCTAGAACTTCGTGGATATAACGCTGCGCGTTCATGTTACCTCTGATGAAGATTAAAGGTGACCTGGAACCATAAGCTATAGCACCCCAAACCATAACTCCAACAGTGTGATGAACATGTCTTTCAACAAAAAACTGTGGATTCCTCCTTCCACCACGTCGCCTTCTAACCCTTACACCGACGTAATCGCCTTGAGTGGTGCAGACAACGGTCACTCTGGTCACAACGGTTTAGGCATGCACGATGGTCGTGCCAGGGTTAGAAGGCGACGTGGCGCGTTGGAGAATGCGTAGCACATCAGGGTGCATCCACACATTATTTAAAGCAGTGCAATCATTTTGAAATTTTTATAATTTACTTATTATGCTTCATTAAGTACTTATACAAAATTTTATTAAAATAAAACCATTTAAACTGGGTGTTCGGATTTATATGTCACTTAGTATACATATTTGAAATCGCAACCGAATTACATAAGATACGAGGATTTTTTAAAATATTTTATGATAGGTTTTATAATATCAGGGATGCTGGTGACTCCCTTTTTCTCAATTTTTTCGATCAATCTCACTTTTCATTGAATTCAGTCACTTTTCGCTCTCGCTGTACATATTGTAGTTTATGAAAGTGATCTCCAGCCCCACGAAATTGAATGAAGTGATTTTGTTTTATAAAACTTAACTACGACAGAGTTGTTCATGTACAAGGTTCTCCCCAAGCTAAGTCAATATGTATTACATCAGAAATTAGTAGGATTAGTTGAAATCTACGTTGAATTTTGATTCAGCTTTGCTAAAAGCACTTTATATATGCTCTAGGGATTTCAAATTCGGAAACGGTAAGCAGGACAGTACAAAATGAAAAAGTTCCGCATTTAGGTAGTTAAGCAATTTTTAGAGAGACAGAAAATACGAATTCATCTTGAACCGTTTTAATTTTCTCCCTGCTTAATTTTAGCTGAGATTTCAACAGTGGCATTTTTCACAAGCCTTGTGCAAGTAAGTGTTAGTATGTTAGTTCGTTATGTGTGGAACAAATCCTGAAACTGAATTTTGAACCAATTAACCAATCGTGCTGAAATTTTGTATGCCTGTCTGGTTCGGGTGACAATACAATACATAATGGATTAGCTGCCGCCATTTTGAATCTTATAGGGCGTATGCTACATAATGGCGATTATTTATCCTTTTCATGATATATGATATTGGTATCCATTATCTAGAATAAGCAAACTGACGTCATTCTACATCCAATATGACAGAGCCCGAAATTTGGCGATTTATAATTTCCATAGTCACCCCTATAATATGGGCATCAGACTAAAGGGCTTTAGAGCAACACAATAAGCAAAATGTCATTTCAAATCAAATATGTCGACTGCCGCAAGATGGCGTTTATAATTTCTATAGTTACCACTCTGATATGGTCATCGACTGAAAGGGCTTGAGAGAAACACAATAAGCAAAGTAACGTCATTCTGATCCAATATGGTTGACGTTTAATATGACAATTAACAAAAGAATATGGGCATGGGAACCCATCGAATAGAGCCTCACTTGATTCCTAATGACAAGTACTTTAGTATTACGGTCTGATGATTAAGTTAGTCAACTATTGTGTAAAAAATACTCATCTGTAATAACTATATAAAATTTCACTTTATACTATGAGTTCGCTAAAATGTAGGTTCAATCAATAGGGTAAGAATACTTAATAGATATGTATAATTACGTCTCCTGCATTTACAAGAATTTGTTATAGTTTTCATATTTATTTTATGCATGGTATACATTTGATCTTAAAATTGCATACATCTGAATAATTATTTTTGCTTACCTCAACAAAACAGTAACAAGGACCCTATACAGGGTGTTAATAAAGTACACCTATGTAGACAAACTTCAGGAGGTGATTCTATGCTGAATTTTAAGATGAAAAGTTCATATAAACATAGGTCCAGAAATGCTTTGTCAAACTTTCTTTTAAAATCGGTTTTTCCTAAATATCTTTATAAACTTTCAGTCGATTTTGTTCAAATTCTGCAGTAGTATTAAGGGCAGTAAGAGGCTAATTCAGATTGAAATCATCAAATCCGGTGGCGTCCTGGAAAACACCCTAACCAATATATTTGACAAAAAATGTGTTCGCCAATTTTTATATTTTTTTCTCGAATTTAGCAGCTAAAAATACAACTTTTTTATTTCCCCAGCTTTTTTCATATCTCGCTTCGTTTGCGAGATAAAAAATAAAAAGCACTTTATTGCATGTTTTTGATAATTAAGTTACACGAAAGTCGTCTTTTGATTTTTTTTACTCAGATTATACCTGCTTTCGATAAAACAGGTAAACAAAGAATATGTACATAACGTTATTTATTGTTGCAATGTTTTGCCAGTGGCGTTGCACAGTCTCTCGGGAGACAAAAAGTTGTATTTTTAGCTCCTTCGAAAAAAAATGTAAATTGAAAAAGGTCGGTGGCGCCCAATTTTTTTTTTCAAAGATATTGGTTAGAGTAACTCTTAAAAACACTTCAAATAATATAAATAATAAGCACTGCTTTAAGTAAGTTATGTCAAAGCCAGATTTGTTTGAGTAGCAATTATTATGTTATTTTGTTTTATCGAAATTAGTTTTAAATATGTGCGAAAAAATTCAAGAGATGACTTTCGTCTAATGTTAGTTTTGTGGTTTCAATGTTTTATTATGTTATTGTCCCAAGGACATGCAAAAAAGGTCTTTTTATTTTTTTATCTCGCCAAATAAGCGAGATAAAAAAATTCGGCAGACTAAAAAGTTGTATTTTTAGCTGCTTAATTCGAAAAAAAAAAAATAGAAAAATTGAAAAAAGTGGCACACATTTTTTGTCTTTTGTCCAAGATATTGGTTATGGTGTTTTTCGGGACCCCACTGGACTTAATAATTTCAAACTAATTGCCATTAATACCACTGCTAAATTTGAACAAAATCGACTGAAAGTTTATCAAGATATTTAGGAAAAACAGATTTTTTAATAAAGCTTGAAAATTAAGCATTTCTGGACCTATGTTTATATAAACTTTTCATCGGAAAATTACTCAAAGGATCGTCTCCTGGAGTTTGTCTACGTACTTAAATAAACCCTGTATATACAGGTTGGCCGATATGTAACTGACTGGTTTGTATCTTGAAATGAAATAAAATGTATCCATTTTTTCCATCTTAATCTTTTATTGAAACTTATAAGATGCCCGCCTTTAACTTTCATGGTCACTAGGTCCTAATTCCTGGGTAACTGAATTTTCAATGACCTCAAATGCAAGTATTTTCTTAAAATAGTGCATAATGACGTGCGACGAATACCCAGTTCTTGAGAACGATGTCTGGTAGACGTCTCAGGGCGCTCCACTACATTTTCACGAGCTCTCTCGTATTTTCCGGAGTACGAACAGTTCGAACACGGCCCGATCTTGGCAAGTCTTTAACTTCACCTGTTCAAATTTCCGCACTAATTGACGAATGGTGTTGATACTGGGCACATTATTCCAACCTAAATTTTGTCGTAGCTTCCGAATCGTTGCAACAATCGACTCATTATTTAAGAAAAACTTTTATACAATACGGACGCGTTGTGGGATTGTGTAGCGTTCCATGATGAATTGGACACATGTGCTTTAAACAACTAGTACGGCGCCACCTACTGAAATGCGTGTATCAAAAATGGCGCGCAATTCAAATCAGTCAGTTATACATTGGCATTATGGTATTCAATTTTCCAGAAAATTAATTAACTTTTTCATAAGTTAACATTTCTCACTATTTTCTCGCTACTTTTTTTGAAAATCTCACTTAAATTCATACTTTGGGCTGCCAGCACCCCCTGCGGTCAAAAAATAGTGAAATGCCATGAAAATAAAAAGTAAGATGATGGTGTTCTAATAGATATTTGTTTCTAAAGGTATGGGAACTACATACTCGATACCTCACACTCCCGAAAATTTTCTATCCAACATGGACGACAACATGGACGTAGGTAGCGAGAGTCACACCATGGATACCCCGGATATCTCAACGTTGAGCGATAACATTGACTCAACAGATGACTTAGTGCCTACGTTACAACTAGGAGAAGAATTCCCGATTCTAGAAGACGTACAATCATTGATCAACCCACCGACCACCAGAGCTGATAATGTACTAATTTGGTTGTAATACAAGTGCCTCGATGTTTTTCAAGTACTCACATACTTTTCGTTGTTAAGGATATGGAATAGAAGGTATCGGTACTGTAATAAATTGTTTAAATGGGTACGTATGAAATTGCAAATTTTGCGGCTTTTGAGATTTTTTTCAGTTCAAGTTTCACCAGTACCAGCAATTTTTCCTTGACGGAAATTATGTAGAAGCATTTTTAAATTTTTCTGACGAAACTGACCTAAACATCAACTTGTCAAGTGATCACTAGCAGTCATTTTGTTGATAAATATCTACAGAACAAACGCACGTTTGTGTTTTTCAATTTGAGAATGTTTATAGATTTTCGTTTAATTTTTCAATATCGATCACGTACCTTAATTCGATAGAACTGGTAAGTGCAAAAAACTATCACAGCATATTTGAGAGCTCAAACACTTCCGCAGTTATACTTTCTAGTATGCTAGGAGCAGCCCAAATGAATTTGGGATCGATGCAAGCTGTATCTCGACGTCTTGCTGACTAAACGCCTATAGCATGCAAAAATCTTTTTTTCTCAAATTTATGGGCTTCATCTCGCATTCTGAACTAACAAAGATTTAGTCAAGAACCAACCTTTATTCGAGCTTTTAGTATTATAAACGAACACATTATTTTGTTCCCAGTACTTTTTATCGATAGAGTTTTTGATCCCAAAATATTTCTCGCGCTTTTGATCTTTGGGCATAGAGTGAATGTGGCAGTGGTCGGACAGTTCAGACAAAAGTGGAATACAAAGTGTAATTACGAATTTCGTGTTCAAGATAACACAACTAATGCTTTCGGAGGTCATCATATATGTTGTTGACTTTTCGTCACACATTGCTTGTAGATATTCCTGTAATTTTATAAAAAAATATAAATCAAAAAGGTGCCATTTTTCCAGTACATGAACAGAAGGTGCTAGTAGTCGGCCGGCTAGTTTCCAATTGTCGGACAGCATTTGATTAGCCAGTTTTAGACAGAACCGTATTTAAAAATTTGTGTTAGTAGAATAGAAATTCCAAATCAGTCGTCATTTAGACGAGGAAAAGAAATTAAACACACTCATACTGAGTCTATTTAATATAGATATTTTTATCCAAAATAATACCTTTAGGTAAAAATGAACAAGAAACCAATTTTTTCCTTTAATCCGGTCCGGCACTACCACACTGTTTACATATTTCAAGCAATTTCGCAACATTTCTCACAGCTTCGACTGTCTCCTTTAGTATGCCTTCATTATATATTCAGAATTTATTTTTTTTCTTGGTATCCATTCCCGAATGAAGTGGAAATGTGAAATTTTATTTCACAGTATCGTGAAAAAATGGCGGGAAAATGTAAGTGGCCGGCTATTGGAAATAATTGCAGCCGCATTTTGGTTTCTTTAATTGCAAGAGAGAAGTTTGCTAGTTTCTAAGTTTAAAAAGAAAAAGATTGATTCATAACGACCACGCCATTCGGACACTTGTCCGACTATTGGATTTTGTCTAGTATGATGATCCAGTCAGCGGCCACTCCAACTTGACTTCAAAATATTTAAATAACATATTAATAATTGATTTCGTCAATTTTGAATGTCTTCTGCATTATGTAACAAGAACAGTATTTATATATTGTCAGCTGACGATTCTACTTGCCTTTAAAGTTTATGTCACTCACTACATAAATTACAAAAATTGAGGAATCCAAGAGAGGCTGTTTTTGTCGCGCTAATACTGTAAACTGTCCAAATTAGTTGATAAATCTGATACCAATTACCAACAAGTATAGGATTTCAAATATTCAAGTATTTTACCAATAATATAACATTTGTTCGACCACTGGTAGTGTCCGGGTTACTGCTACATTCACCCTACTAGTGCTGTGTTGCCTAGTTATGCTATTGACACACGAATTTTTCTGCTATTTTTCATGCACCTTAATCTTATCACATTTCTGATAACGTGGCGCGTGATATTTCGTCGGAAACGCATTGAAGTCGGAAACCAGAGCCAAAACCGTTCAAGTCAGTATCCATTTATACAACAAGTGACCCATATCTTGTAGGACATATCACATTAGAAATAAAGTATAGAAAGTCGAATTTGCCAACAATGTACAGGGTGTAGCTCGTCAAAAAATTTTGGGGTAAAGCGTGATAATCGTTCTCGACAATGCGGACGAAAATTTTATACCGCGAGTAAACGGGCTCACGGCGACTATGAAATTGATTATATGTAGAATAAATGAAAATTTGACAGCGTGGATGATTTTCTCATTTTTTCAATCAGCCTGTTTTGGGCAGTCCTCTAATCAAACCAAGTATATCTCTATAACGCACATGCCACCCTGTACATTGATATTTTTTCAAGGATAGATCGCTCTTTCTATTTTTTGCAATGTGTTTCTAACATACGCTTTAAATGGCAATAAAAGAAACATTCATATCATAGTCGACTATCTATTAAGGATAAAGTTCTAGCATTTGTAATATTGTAGTGTTACAGTTTATGGGAACGTTATTTTGCTGTTGGGTATGTTTTTATACATATATAGATTTTAATGTATTGTTTTAGTTGTTTGTGAGGAAATATTCGTTTCTGCATTTTGGCAAGAAAAATATCGCAATACAAACTGTACAAATTGAAGAAAATTGGTGCTACCATAAAAAATTGAATCCGGATAATAACTGTAAAGGAACAACTGCCTGATCAGGTATAACTTGATGCTAAACAAAGCAAAACTGCTCTTCTCCCACCATTATTGTCTGGCCAATAAAAACACATGTATTGACACAATCGTCTTTACTGTAAACATTTCATTCACAAATATGACAATGTATTTTATCTGTCTTCCAGGTGACAGTCCATTTGTTTTTCTTTTCATCGTCGTAACAATAAAAATATTCATTGCGCAATAGTCTCCCAATTACAGGACAATAATACATAAGCATACCAGAAAACAAAATCAAATGAAAAAAACAATTAATAGATTTAAAATATAAACAATAATTGAATAACTGGAAAGTGCGAACGTACAACAGATTACAGAAAAAAAATATAAGATTTTTGACATCACTCAAGCTCTAGATAAAAATATAAGACATTTTCGATAAACATATGAAAGTTAAAAGCCAGACATATTAAGAGAAGAATAGCCTATTTATGTGATTGCTCTATCCACATACAAACGACCACAACACTAGATAAAATTGCGCTGGCGTCTAATTTATTATGTAAAAGTTTATAATGGCTATCGAATTACATTTTCGTCTCAGATCCAGACTTTCTGATTCAAATCTAAAAGTAAGGTGCTCATAAAGTAAATTCCTAGGACGATAAGTACCGTCAGTGTTACAAGCGAGCAGTTTTTCAAAAAGCGTCTAAATTGCCAGTTTATGTTTGAGGTAAGATACGTTTGTGATAATGACAAGAAAAGACAAACGAACTGTCACCTGAAAGGCAGATAAATAAAATATATTTTCATTGTACTGTTTATCGACATGTAAGTCACGGGAAAGTTTCAGGCGTTACATCAATAGAAGCCTTATATATTTTTTTTGTCTAGTTCGGCTATTTGTGTAAGTGATACTGATCAGTTAGTTGTTTCTAAATGCTTCGTATGGTGGACTAATTTCTATTTGCTCAAAATGTTGTCAACTTGATATCAACTTTAAGGATTTTTTGAGCACTCTTAGATTAATTTTTCCTTAGTATTGGTGATATCAATTGAGTTGTCAGTCACACCGATTTCTATTGTGTAAACTAGGAATTTGAGTGTGACGTGGACCTGGGGTCGAAGTATCTTATGCCAATGATTTTGGCCGCAATAATCAGTTATTGGTGGATTTTGGAAACCAAAACTTCAAATTTTAATTGTTACGTTTTTAGTATTCTAATTAATATAGGTTGATGTATTTTTGTATTGTAGGTGAATTTATTTAAATCTATCAAATATTTAATAGCAATAACGGAACTAATGAATTGTGTATCATTTTTAATACATCGTGTATATTTGATAAACATATTTACACATTTGTAACTCCTAGTCTCAACCTCAAAATCACCATTTCTCTGAGAGGAACTCACGAGCTATCACGTGGAACTCCGATTATGCAAACAACTGTAAATACTATTGTCACTTTAGGCACTCATGCTTCTGCCAATTAATCAGTTTAGATTTTAATACGTGAGTTTGCGTGACAGCGCATGAGTTCACGTGACGTGACAATGAACGGTTTTTGAACTGAAATGTCAGCTAATATTGCTTGAGGCTGCGGATTTACTCGTTGCATCAAAAGTTCATTGTGTGAACATTTTGAGATGCAGATAATGGTATTTTTTATTTCTTGTTTTTGATAACCCTGTGTTATCACGAAACCAAGACGCTCAACAACACATGATGTGTATCATTTATGTACAGGGTACGCCAAATATAAGGATACTTCCAGGAGGTTTTTATAAAAGGTTTTACACCTTATATCCAGAGGTCATTTTAAATGGTACATACGCGTATGATTCGACGTTATCTTTCAGGCTGTGGATGTAAGAATTTATGACGAAAATATCCGGTGAGTTTTCAATGTGCGATCGGTCGATAGCTCCGTTATCATAAAAAATTCAAAAAAGTTGTTTACAAAAATTGTACAAAATGGTTCATAACTACGTGGCCACACAAATATACATTTTTTAAAAGTAATGCCCTGGTTATAGTTTGGTATAGCACACTATTCGTTTGGATCGCTACTTTTGGAGCTATGGCATATTGAACACTACAATATTCAGTTCTTTGCGGATGCGTTATACAATAATTTTAATACTGACAATATAATAATTGCTGAGGCTCACGTTAATGAAGACTTGACATCCATCGACCAGTATGCAAAAATTCATAATCTTAATAGATTAAATCTTTTCATCTGAAATGGATATATTAAAATATAGAGGGTATTCCATAGTATAAATGACCCGGTAGAAAGCAGCATATTTTCCAAGCCTGTAGTTGCCTACTGTTTTTTTAAATAACTTTTTTTAGATATCTTTAAAAATAAGGAGCTACCCACTGAACACAGTAATAGCTCACCCGTTATACAGCAATAACAGCATTTTCAACTAATCGCAGCAGAACAGTTGTGTTGAATCGAAACACTATGATGCAGATGCGATCCTGTTTGAACCTAGCATGATACATTAAAGTCCTTGACTCCTAAAATGTCTAATTTTTGCTCAAACATATAAATAGCATTTTTGTGTAAATTTCAGGGCGACGCAAAATGAATCAGCAAGTCACATAACATTTATGTGTCTTGTGATTTTAGTGTACTAATTTGGAATAACCTTTTTAAAAACCCTTCTGTGAGACGGTACTAAATTTATACGTTTGGCGTTCTCTGTGAACATACAAAAGAACAAATCCCTCCATTTGGTGCCTTTTTAATACTTGTACATATATCGACAATCATTTGTAAGTTTATTGTGTAATCTTTATAATATGATGTTTTATTAGTAGCAAGTGCCTTTTCAGAGGCATAAGTTTATTCTGTAATCGTTAACATAGTAGCTCAGTTAAAGTATACTCTATGCCTTTCACAAACTTAAAATTTAACTGATAAGTCACTGACGCGTTGGAAAGAATCTTGAGGGTATCACAACTTTTCGTTTGCAAATTGTGATACTTAAATCTTTTGTAGATTTAATTGAAAACCTTGCACATTTGTGTACTGAGTCTGATTTAAGAGATAACATGTTACCCATGTCAGGCTGAAAAGATACATTGGTGTGTCATCAATCATTTTTTGGCAGATCTTAATAACAATTCCTCTACATAGAATGTGAACGTTGAAAATTGAATTCAGTATGGAAAATACATTTCATGGGATTAAGACGTTTAATTTTCAGTACTTAACTGCCACTTGTAACTGAAATAATGCCTACATTGCAGAGTGAACTACTTGTCCACCGTATTTTACATAGTATTTATTGTAATTTGCTGAAATTACTATGTTTTTTAACTGTATTTTATATATTCATTTTACATATTTTTTTCATTTAAAACTCTATGGAATATTCTTTAGTTTTTTATTGTCTCCAATTTCTTTCAGTTTGATTTTTTCAATAATATGTTGTCAACTTTAAATAATTTCACAAGTGAATCTTATTTTGTTATACCCTAAAATGTTTCTGCTACCTACGTAATATATGTGCAATACTGACATTTTTTCATTTCACGTATTTCTTTTTAGTTTTATATCAGATGATTAACTGCTAATCTAGTTATAGCCATGTAAATATTGTCTGTTTCAGTTTAAGTTGAAAAGTGTATTTTAATATTGTATTACATATTTTTTTGTAACCATAGTAATTTTGTATGTTTTCCAATAAATACAATGATTGGTGATGTGTTTTTAGTTTTAAACAAATCATGAAAATCCTATAATATCCAATATACAGGGAAAACCAAAACAAATTTGGTCTGACCGCGTGAGTTCAATGTGTACAAGAGAGAAGCGCCAGAGGTGTGTATCAATACATGCTAGAAAGTCGTGCAATCTGCGGCGTTGCCAATATGTTACATCAGCAAATGTTCGGACATGCTTCTACAGTAGGTAAAGTTACTGTAAAACCCAAAAAGGAGGTCTGCTCAAACATTTGATTTAATTTTTTCTCATTTTCTTTAGAATTACCTTTCATTTCCACCGATGGTGATGAAATCAACACATCCTGATTTATTGTTACATTTTGCGACAGCGAGCGGTTGGAAAAATACTACATAGTCCCAACCAATTAGTAACGCTTACGTTAGCTTTTTCCCTGCGCTATGTATCGACCATCTGACAACGGTGCACTTAGAGTCAGTCAGACGCAGACACGCCTGCGTCGTGGCCGACAAATACTGTTCTAATTTTCAAGAGCTAATGTACGGGGAAATCTATGATGACTGAAATATGTACTGATAGGTGAGTAATATAGCCTACAAACATCAAAAAACAAAGTTTGAGCGGTTGTTATATTTTTATTTTGTTTTTACTCCTAGCTCCACTACCACTGGACCGAATTTCAAAAACTGCAAAACTTTCGGTGGACTATAGGCGATTATAAGATTACCGGACAGACAGACCGACGGAATGATTGACATTTTCAAAAATTTCGCGATTACAATAATTCCCCGCCAGTAGGCGTGGAAAGTAAAAACGTTCCACTTCTACATTAAAATTAAGAGCATTTCCCGCCACCCTGACTAGGAATTCACAAATCCTAACATGAACAAAAAAGTTAAAAGCACTTCCTGTGTACCCTGTATAGAATTTGGCACCCTTATCCACTTGATTCTATTTCTGTAACAAATTTTAAAAATTCAATTCACCAACGACAATTGTAGCAAGTAAACTAAACTTAAAAATTATATAACTTGTTTGATTTTAAAATCTATAATCATTTTTTGCATAGTAGATCACCCCATCTCGCATTTAATAATGTCATCATGACGGCAGCGCGATAAGATATAAAAGAAGGATTATAAAGACAAGTGTAATTTACGAAAAACCTCCGACCAAATAGATAATAATTTGGGAGTTCAGGTTCTTAAAAATTATACCTAAGCTCACATTTAACTCATTAAAAGGTAGCTTCATATCCACCAAGCCACTTGAAAAGAATATACTCGTAATTACAATACATTTACCTTGACTAGAATATAACCGGTTCATTTGCATAGTTATTCTTCCCGGTATGCGTTATAACATAGTTTAATGTAACTAACGCTTGTTCGGTTTGAATTAGGTCGATACCTGCCGATCATCCCTTTTATACCCCCACGGGTACGCTGCTGGCTCAAACGCTTCTTAATGCAGCCACGCTCCCTTGCATCCGCTGGGCTGCGGTTCTAGTGGTGTTGATTCTCGTTACTTTCGAGTACTCGTTACTCTTCTACAAAGTAATAATTTATTGTATTCGTTACTGAATACTATGAGTATAATGATTTGGCAACGTGCGTCGTGTAATTAATGTCGAATTTGAACAAGTTCAATGGAACCGAATCTTGTAAGATAATAGAAAAGCTTAAAATTTGCAAAATGTTATAAGCCTAGTTTATTCAAATCTGCCATGTTTAATGCAAACATCGTATCTTCAAACTTTATGCTTATCGAGATGGGTTATTATAGGATAGAGTGTCATATGACTCATATGAGCCTACAAACTGAAAATACTTTGTATACTAAGTGACATATAAATCCGAACACCCAGTTTAAATGGTTTTATTTTAATAAAATTTTGTATAAGTACTTAATGAAGCATAATAAGTAAATGATTGCACTGCTTTAAAGCCCTTTGACCTTTAATAATGTGTGGATGCACCCTGATGTGCTACGCATTCTCCAACGCACCTAGGCATGCTTCTGATCAGGTGGTCAATGTCCTCCTGTGGTATCTCATTCCAGGCAACCACCACCTCCTCTCGAAGTTCTTCTAGAGTCTGAGGAGGACGTTGCAAATTGAGCAATCTCCTACCCATCATATCCCACACGTGCTCAATTGGGTATAAGTCGGGAGATCTTGGTGGCCATGGTAACAATGTGACATCATTATGTTGAAAGAAGTCTATTGTGACTCTTGAAACATGTGGTCGGGCATTATCTTGTTGGAAAGTTGGATCTGCCAGGGTGTCAAGATAGGGTTCTAGAACTTCGTGGATATAACGCTGTGCGTTCATGTTACCTCTGATGAAGATTAAAGGTGATCTGGAACCATAAGCTATAGCACCCCAAACCATAACTCCAACAGTGTGATGAACATGTCTTTCAACAAAAAACTGTGGATTCCTCCTTTAACCACGTCGCCTTCTAACCCTTTCACGACCATCGTGCATGCCTAAACAAAATCGAGACTCGTCACTAAAGACAATACTGTTCCATTCCTGATCCCAGAGTGACCGTTGTCTGCACCACTCAAGGCGATTACGTCGGTGTTCTCGAGTTAAAGGGAGGACCCAGTGTGGCCGGTATGAAAACAAGCCAAAACTGCTCATTCGTCGGTAAACACTTCGCATGCCAATAGGTCTTCCGTGTTCTGCAAACCATTCATTTGCAATGGACCTGGTAGTGGAGAAACGGTCCCTTAAGGCCAATAATCTTAGGCGGCGATCTTCACGGTCTGTTGTTCTACGGCGGCGTCCAGTACCCTTGCTCTTTGCGTACGGCCTTCTCTAAGCCATGCCTGACAAGATCTAACCACAGTGTCTACACTTCTTTGCACTCTAACTGAAATTGCCCGAAAAGAAAGTCCAGCTTCCCGAAGTCCACTATACGGCCCCTATCAAACTCACTAAGTTGACGAAATCGTACAGGTCTCCGTACTCTAGGCATCGTAACCGATCGTAAAGGATGTCAAGAACCAAAATCCGCCATCGTTGATTCTTTACTGCGGCTGAAATATTCATTTTTAGAGCGTTAGTGAATTAAAAAAAAAGCAGTATAAAACCGGAATGTCCAACTGATAAGGCTGAAAATTTTTTCACGTGTTATTTACAGTACAAGTAAACACATAATTTTTATTATTGTGGTTTTCCTGAATGGTGGTGTTACCTTGTTGTCGCTTTTCTGCCTCATAATACTGCCGAACTTTGCTCCTCCAATCCAATCAACTCCTTATTCCTTTTCAGGTTCCCAAGATCATAACACTAAAAGCGAATTTGCGTCACGGTGTAAATAGGTAAACTTCAGATTTAAAAACAATTGCCAAATTCTATGTCCGCCAATCAAAAGAAGTTGAGTTTTCAGGTTTCCACCCGAATGTGGGATGTCTGGCAACCCTGGTGCATGAGCGGCAGTACTACAGTCAAACCAGCGATGCCACTCAACGATTGTACGGGTAGGGATACGGAAAACAGAGTTAATCAAAGTAATCATTTCGTGTTCCGATTGGGACTCGTTACTTCGGATATCTTTGATAGTTATAGTTATAGTTACTTTTTCAACACCACTAGCGGCTCCACATGCCATTATTATTTATCGCGCCACAAAACACATAATGCCCATTCCAGACTCACGCGCGCATCGCGCACGAAACCGCGAACTACCCGCGACCCATGAGTGTGGATCCCATTCGGGTATTCTTCGCGGCTTCACGTCGCGTTCGCGCATTGTTCCCGTTTGTTGTCGGTTTTTTGTCCCGCGACAAAGGGTTCGCAAGGGGCGAACATAACTAGGCTCCTCATTCGCTGGTGTTTCAGTTGCCTCATAGCGAGTGCCGGGAATGATTGTTTTTTCCACTTCTTTCCAATTGCTCTAGTTTCACTTATATATGCGTAATTATAAATTGCCAAAGCGCAAAGTAGCCCTGCAGCAGCAGTAGCAATTTCACCATCCATACTGCATTGCCGCAATTTCACGCCGTGAGCCGTGATCCGCACGTGAGTCTGGAGAGGGTACAAGTCAAATCATATATAAGAAAACTGAGAAATTCTTTAACGGAAGGGTGCTACCGCTTCAGTTCACCGAAAATATTGGTCAATTATACATTGACCCAGCTCCTTTCAGAATAAAACATAATCTGATAAATAATCTTTTAATCAATTACGCTGATTAACGCTTTCCACAACACTTGAACATAAAAAAATAAACCATGTTATATGCATAGGAAGTACTTTGCATACATACATATATACAGGGTGGCCCATCCATGTGTGGACGGAATATTACCCATAAACAAATACATTTTAGGAAAATCTATTTATGGCATGTTATTCATGACATTTGAGGGCACGAAAGAATGCAATCCATTTTTTATCACTCATTGTACACTCTGTACTGCCCAGGTTTCACTTCACAAAGATTTCAGTGGTCAGCGTAAGTATAATGCTGTCTTGATTCGAAAGTATTGCTTTTTAGTTACTTACAAGGAAAATAGTTTACCGCATGAAAAGGATATTCAAAAACGAATAATGAGGTTGCAAAGCGAGTAACATGTTTCGATCCACAAAGAAAAAATAGCGCCAAGTATCATCAGTCAGTGATATGTTCGGTACAAGTTAATCCTCTGAGAATAAAAGTTAGCTACAAACATGTATAATAAAAAAATGAGTGTATCAAGTCCTTCAACAGGCCCAATCAATTGGTCCATAGTCCCCACTCGTTTGACAACATTGCGATCTAGTGTGTTGAAGATATTTCTCCATAATTCTAAGTTTTAAGGTTAAATGTACGAAGTGTGTGAAATATGTATAATTCCACGACTTGGCACGCCAGGCCATATCTCAGACTGGGCTAAAGAGCTATGAGGCTTTGCGAAATTTCAGGGTCCTAGGTCGTACGGTTCAGTTTGGAAAAGTGCTCAAACTTTGAAGGTTTAGCAAAAATGTGAATTTTGAAGTTTTGGCAACTTTTCCATTTTCTCGCTAGTCATGTCATTTGAAAGCATTAGTCCCTGCCATATGTGACTATTCCGGAGTAACATTGTCCAAAATTGACTTCAAATTTGGATCTGACAATTCGTTCGGCACACATTTAAGTCAAAAATATTTTCCAAATTTTCATTATTCTCTAGGACTGGCTTCGAAACAAAAAATCCACAATATTAATTTTTATTTAAATAAAGGGATCGCCCGATCGCTCTATTCTATATGAGTTGAACTTTGTTTTAGGACCTCTAAATCGTATTGCCCTTTACAGCTAATTGTCGATATTTTTAACCAAAATTTGACTAAAATTGTGAAGTTAATTTTACAGTCTATATTCTTTAATTCTCCGATAAAATCTATAGCTACTTCGGATTTTTAGCCTCTTAAAGTCGTAAAAATGCATAGTATTGCAATTTTTTGCTGAATAATTAGATCTATATACATGTTAAACGGATTTAGCTAGGGGGTAATACATATATTCATTCTTGTTAGCCTGGCCTCCAGGAATTCTCCTTGATTTTTTTATTTGTACTTTTTTATCTAAAAATAATCAAAAAAAAACTTGGCTATCTCCGAACGGCTACCGTTGCGTTGGTAGGAAGTCCCAGATGTTACCCTAAAATCAGAGGGTAGAACTCTAACAAAGAGAGTTCTCCAAAAATGGGGGAACTGCTCCTCCCAGGCGTGAGCCCCAGGCAAACTCGCCTTGGACTAACCCTATAGGCGGTTCCCCTCCGCTCGATGGTTGAGTGTAATTATCTGCACGGCTGAATCCACAAAAGGGTAAGAAAAAGGCTCAGACACCAAGAACCATCAAGGGGGTCGATTTGCAAAAACTACCCCACCACCCTATGAATCCGCAACTCAGCGTGTGAACTATGCCTAACATGCTTTATAACATGTTTTTTGGGTCTCTGAAAGCGAATCCGGGGCATATTCAGTCCGGAAATGGCTCGTTTTCGAGATACTGGCAAGAATTCAACTTTATCAAAAATGACTAATAAAAAATATCTAAACACTGTTGACCGTCGATGTTCTAGATGGAAGCTTGTTTTCTAGGTAAATGCTAGAATTCACGGGTAGTCTCGGGTAACTAGTTTATTACAAAATTTTCACTGCAAATCCGGTCCGATGACACTTTCGAATTTTTTCAATATTCTTAAATTCTTGTTCTGTTTTAGATTTCGCTGCTAGACAAACAGCTTCAAATAGCCACAATAGAAAAGTTGTCTTAATAAAGAACTTAATGACGAAAAATATCGGCAACGACCAAGTATTGAAAGATATTTTGGGTTATAGTAAAAGTTGGGCTAATTTTTATTGAGTTGGCAAAATACAAACACAAAGTTATAACGAGGAAAATTTCATATATTTTCAAGACCTAACCTAACACTAAGGAAATTCAACATAAGAAAATAAATTATTATAATCACGTTTCTGAGCCACTTTTTGGTCTTCTCGATCTATCTTGGCTCGTGATGGATCGTATTTCCAAAATATCTTTGTTCGGAAGCGGTGATCAGACACACTCTTCTACCGTCATTTCCAACAGCTAAATAAAAAAAAACATGTTATTGTATCTAATAAGCAACATAGCAGACAAAAGAACAGTGATAACGACAAACAATCCGCTTACGTTTTCTGCATGAAAATAGTCAAGAAAAAAAATGATTGCCTTTCGTTAAAAAAAAAATGTCTGAAATATTTTCATTTAAGAAGGTAGTGACCTTATTTAGGTGTAATCTAATCTTTATATTATGAAAAAAGCAATGAATCACCTTGACGTCTTTCCAATTAACCATCATTGTAGGGTGGAGCGGCTTCTTGACTTTCCCATCAGGATTCATCACATCCACTGACTTGACAAAATCTTTAATAACCGTATCTACTTCAGCAACAGGTGCGCTGGGAGAACGGAATTTTATCGAGTCTTTAATTTCTTCCCCCGCACATATCTCCGTCATCATGAACCTACAAAGCAACAACATACACATTCAATTTTTTTAGATCGTAGTATTGTCATTTTGGATAAAGTACCAGACGCAAAACATATAGAATTTTACACCGACGATAAATAAAGATATATGTTTGCAAATTTCCACTTCGAACATTCAAAAAATGTTCTGGTTACGATACTTTACGCTGTTGCTATCATTCACAGATGGAAAGCCCAATATACGTTTGTTGTGGTAGATCTTTGATTTATACAGTTTGTTCATTTGAAAACGGATTTATCGGAAACCACTAATTAAACGAAAAAATACACAAAAGATTTATCAAAGGGGACAACTTTTTAACCAAAAACTACTTCACCCCCTTTCACCCTCGGCCCCCAGGGTCATCCCCTTAAAAATTTCAAATGACATGGGGTATCGACTCATAGTTTGTTTGAAAGGTCTTTCGAAGTCCTTTATGTAAACATTTCATTTTTTAAAGTCAGTCAATTCGTTTTCGAGAAAATTACAAAAATCTTTATTTAATTTGTTCAGATAGAAAACAAAAACACACGAAAATATCACTTTTTATTTCAGTAAGTGTTCAAATCTACAATTCGTTTATCATTATAACGGAAACTACCAACATAAACATCAATTCGGAAGTTTACACGTGGCAACAAACCAAATAACAACCCGAATCTATCCGCATTCTTTTCACCAACACAGATATCCTGGGCGAACTGTATTTAATGTTATACCTGTTTAGTTATTTGTTGCTAAGGGAAAGAAATAATTTAATTCGCTGTCAGTTACCTTTGTGACAATCTTGGGATAGTGAAAATTAATTTATTGATTCATATTTTACTTTCACAATGGTTTACACACTAGCCGAAAGAGTGGAAATGATTCTAATTTATGGTGCCAAAATCAAATCTGCTCGGCAAACTGTCGTCACGTTTAACGCCAGATATCCGGGGAAGATAACTTCGCATAGGCATGTTTTGGACATTGTTACTAAATTTACTCAAACTGGATCTGTTGCAAATGAAAAAGAGATCGTCGGAGAGTTTTGGATGAAGCCGCTCAAGTTGAAGTTTTGGGGAATAAATCCTAATACTTCATTAAGCAAAATTGTTGCTGATACTGGTATTTCATTAGGCTCTGTACACACAGTTACTAAACTCCATAAATTTCATCCATTCAAAATGAAAATATTGCAAGAATTAACCTAAGATGATTTCGATAGGCGAGTGAAGTTTTGTGAACAAATGACTGCAGCGATTAATGATAATACCATTCATGTAAAGAATATCTGATTCAGTGATGAATGCACATTTTATCTAAATTGATTTGTTAATAAGCATAACTGCAGGTATTGGAGCAATGAAAATCATCATGCTTTTGTAGAAGGGCATACCCAGTACCCGCAAAAATTAATATATGGGCAGGCATTTTAGGAAACAAAGTGATTGGGCCATTGTCTATTAATGGAAATTTGAATGGAGACATTTATGTGGATATGTTGCAAAATACCATCAATCCGCTTATCACTGAAACCATTGAAAACCAAATCCTATACTTGATGAGGCTGAAATACCACCTGCTCACTATATGCTTCCCGTTTGGCAATGGTTAGACGAGTTTCCAGATAAATGGATAGGGCGAAAAGGGCCTATGGAATGGCCTGCTAAATCTCTTGACGCCATTAGACTTTTTTCTACGGGGCCATCTAATGTGTTTACTCCCCAACCTGAAAGTTTGGATGAACTTAGTCAACGCATCATCGAAAGCTGCCATGATACCCCACAAGTTTTTGAAAATGTCCGTCAGGAATTTGAACATTGTCTATATCATTATTTGGCCAATAACGGGCAACATTTTGAACATTCATTGAAACAAAAAGTGGAATTTTCGTGTGTTTTTGTTTTCTATCTGAACAAATTAAGATAAATACAACTTTTTCTAATTTTCTTGAAAAGCAATTACTCGATACTCGTTTTCATTTAAAATGTTTAAGGGGATGACCCTGGGCGGCAGAGGGTGAAGTAGCTTTTGAAAAAAATTGTCCCCCTTGACAAATCTTTTGACGTTTCTCGGCGTTTTCTCTATTAATCAGTGGTTCTCGATAAATCCGTGGTAGGCAGTTTTCAAATGAACACCCTGTATATTTAAAATATTAACACAACAGTGCTTGTGCGAATAGCGTATACAGTTGCAAGAAAACATGGTGACTGTAACTTCACTCTATTTTTTGAAACTCGTCACAAACTGTTTTTCCAGCATAAAGGATACAGTTGTGTAAATCGTTCTGAACAATATATTTTATTATAATATTCATTTTAAAGTGTTCTCTGCGTTTATTCCAATGCAAGCGTAAATATCTTATTGCTGTTTTTAATGCAACTTTTAGAATCATGTCCCAATAATATAGAAGTAAAGAAGTAATTAGCTGAGCCTACTATTTTTTTGTCATACAGTGATATTTTTTGTTGCTTGTACCTGTCCTGAAATTACTTTTTGTAAATTACCATTAATAAATAAATGTTTAATTAAAATAAAACATTATTCTGGCACGAGATTATGCGACAAGCTGTATACGTCTAAATAATTTAGAAATACACACTTGTAAGATGTGAATCTTGCTGCGCAAATCGTTTTCGAAAACCTTTAACAGATTTTATACTAACACTCTGTATCTCCATCAGAAAGCATTTCTGGGATTCAGCACAACAGGACCTATCGGTATACGAATTTTCATTAAAATTAACCGGTGGTCGAATCCCATATGTTTTGTGCCTGGTGCTTTCTACTAAACAACAAAAGATATATACCGAAAATTGGAAATTTATTTTAATATGTTACATGGAAATGTAACTAAAACAAACAGTACAGAAGTAATTCAGTTAAATTGTAAAAGCTTTCACAGTAGGGCTATAACCTAAGCTATAATTACCTTTTTGGTGTAACATCATCTAATGGTATCAGAGCAAAGTACTTGGGCTGGGTCTGCCTAATGTAGACTCTGCTAGCAATTGCGTACTTTTTTTGGCTAGCCAAACAAGTTACCAGGGCATTGAAAAAAGGTTCCTTTTCGTTTTTTTCTGCCAGCACGACGAAACTCTCCTGTCCTGTTCATCGGATCAAAAAAGCAATGTTAGATATAAAAGTACAAACATGTATTTATGCTTCCCACGCATTACCACCTCTTCATACTGGATCCGGCACATTTTTTTCTGTTAACTGAAATAATTTAGAATCAGATTCAACTTTTGCAGGGCCCCACAGGGTAGTGGTGGTAGTAATTGTGTAATTGTTTAATACTTTAATAAAGCCTACATTCATTTCACTCAAGAATCTCCAGCCTTGCGATCTCAAAACTCACGAGTTTGTCATGTAACTCATACTTTTAGTCTGTTGAACTCACTGACTCATTTTGGACATATGGACTCATAAACAAAGTTTGTCTGGATCATTGTGAATTGAAGATGAATGAATGTTTGTGAGATAGTTAATCTAATTATTTCCATTTTCTGTATTTTGCACTTACCACTCATGAATGCAATTGGAACATTTTCCGACGGTGTAAAACAAATAATGTCAAATGTCGGTTCTGTATTTGATTTGAAAAATGTACTATCATTTTCAATAGCCACAAAATTATTACATATGGACAGACCACGTACAATGTCCTCGTGATCAACAGGTATAGTTATATCTTCAGCCAAGGCGAATGAATCAGGTTCACGTTCACCTACAAGACAAAACAATGCGTCAAGCAGTTTGACTCTGCACTCCACTGCGTAACGCCATTATAGATTCATAAAATATGATCAGCAACCCTCTGACGAAAAATTCTGACAGAACCATACAACTGGTTCGTATACATTCTTTCCCTGCCCTTCAAGTAATTTTTATTGTTTTGTTTTCTGTCGCCACTGTGAAATAAAAATAAACGACAGCATTGAATTTCTGGGCATCTATATTGATGACTGGTCTGAACGCGGAGATTATTTGAATAGAAAACTAAATAAAATTTGTTACTGCATCCGAGACATCTCAAAATACTTGGCTGAAACAGCTACCAGGAGATTATATTCTGCAAACTTTGAAAATACTATGTGATATGGATTATTTTTTAGGAATTCAACTCCAGGGCTCGCGCAGAAGCGCATTTTAAGAATTATATATAACATGCCTTTCTTGTAGTCCTGTCATTGAATCAAACAAACTGTTAACAATGTACAATGCAGTATACATCTATGAAATTATGTTATTTATTTTTAATCATAAAACTCATTTTTTTGAAACCGCTAGTCACAGTTATAATACTCGAACAAATAATATCTCTTTCCCAAAACAAAGATTAACCTTGTACAAGAAGAGCCCCTAAGTACATGGGAATTAAACTTTATAACAAATTGAGTAACATTATCAAATATATCACGAATGAAAAGATTTTTAAAAGGAAGCTAAAAGAGTTCTTGATAGATCTGGAGCCATACAATAATGAGGAATATGTGGGTTGTTGAATAGAATAGCTGCGTTACATAACATCAGTCTTCATTTGTATATTAGGTACCGAAATGTGTTTAAAAACAATAGTTATTTTTGTTAATGTGTGTTATAATGTTCAGTTATTTAATACAGATGTGTGTGGAAGAGATTGTATTTAACGAAATTTGTTTTTACAGTGTGTATTGACAAGTGTAATTGGAGGAATATATGATAAGTAAATAAAAATTACTGCTTATAATTTATTTATTTCTACTCAAGCAACTGTGCAGATGAAATTTGAAAAGTGAACCTTGTTCAAGGTATATACAAATCCATCAACATCTTCCATGAAGGTTGTTTTTATTTTGTATTTGACAAGCAAGCAAAACGTGGTTCCAACTCTCGCCTTACCTATCATTTCCTTTTTCACTTGAATGTTCACATCCGTTCTATACACCTTCGATGTCTTTACTGGGATCTGTATTTTGGTTCCAATGGTCAGTGGGACCTTCCATGGTTGGCTTCCTCCCGTTCTGCGGTAAGTCAAAAGCAGATGCAGACCAACATCTACTTCCGCCATCACTCCAGAAACATTGCATACCAATGTCTTCATTTGTTCTTGTATGGGAGTGGGAACCATCTGAAACAGACAATGTTAACTCATACATATTTTCAATTACATAGTTGGTTTTCCTCTTTTACTTAGAAACACCATCAGACGCATTTCACATATTTTAGAGTGATCACGGTAACTATGTAAATATGTACATGGAATAAAAAAGCATTTTTAAAAACAAGCTTCTATTTAGCTGTTCATAGTATGAACTAAAAATTTAAAAATATGTTTTCCGGTTGTAAATATTTAAACGACAATGAAGCTCCATCTCGTTTTCAATTAAAAGCGTGTTACACCCTTTTTCCATTCTGTCAAAATATAACAAGATTTTATTTGAAAACGCGATGATGGAGCTTCATTATCGTTTGAATATTTACTATCAGAAAAAAATATTTTTTAATTTTTAGTTCATTATTTATGTCAAGTAACTAGTTTGGTAATTTCTATAAATAAAGAATAATAATATGATAGATGGATTATTTTGCGGATTATAGATGTGAGACTAGGATATATCTATATAAGTACATTATTATATCCAAAATTAAAAATATGTTTAAGTATAAATACATAAATTTGTAAAAAATTAGCGCTTAAAATAGTGGAAAAAGACGCATGCGCGCGCACGCACATACACTAAACAAGTAGACATATAGATCAATGGAACAAGGTTTTGAAGCATAACAATAAAAGATAACAGGAATGCAGACAAATAGTAATAGAACGCTAAAAAAATATATACACAGCTCAAGTCTCTTATGCAATTGTAGAAATCGAAGAGCATTACTGTTACAGTGAAAGTTAGCTACTGAATAGTAGCATTTTTCTCTTAGCTGATACCTCAGCTCTTTCGTGAACCTATTTGGACATCTGATATCTTTTAGCATTGATGGCAACTTATAGAATACCTTGATGCAGTCATTTTTCATACAAATCCATAAATATATTTTTCTAAAATTGACAGTGTATGTGAACATATACTCAGGTTCTATTTTGCTCCAGTTTTGTAGTTCTAGTCATTGTTTCGGCCCCTATGATTGAAGGTGTAGAGGGCGGATTTATAAATATATAATACATAGTAGCATTAACAATTTATTATGTTGAAATATTTCTTAACTATGTATGACTCTTCTTTTAATGTTGAATATCAACCTTAACATACGTTTCTACAAACACTCTGGATGCAGAGCATGTTTTTCCCCCAGACGATGGTGTTATTTTGTAGATGCGAATACACCAATTTCAATATAGCATAGTATAGGGGGTAACGAGGGAAATTATAAATCATCATTTCTGGTGGCCGGCATAGATACACATTTCAGTAAATTAATACATGTCACAAGTCAAAGAAGGAAAGCATTATTGATACACAAGACATATTAAAAATTAAAATTAGAAAAAAGAAGACTTTACACATGATACTGACAATTTAAAATTTGTAATATAAAAATTCTTTTATATTATAAAAGCAGCTCTGGCACTGCAATTTCTTAACTTAAACTCTATATATAGTTTGTGATATCTCTTAGATATTTTGATAAATTGTTGAATAGGTGGATGTACTTGTAAAATACAGATATTTCATATGCTGTTGTTTTATGCCTAGGAAAACTTAAAAGCCATACTCTGTGTTGTATTGTTGTGGTTGCTTCCAAGGGGAGTAAAACCACCACGGCTGCTTTTCACAAATGTTACACATTTTAATATGTAAACTGATAACAGTGTTAGAATTCCGTCTTCTTTACAGGTTTAAACTGAATGAGCATAAGTATTTTCTTTTGAGTAAATCAACATTTAGTGGTGGCCGCCATATTGGATTTAAAATTACGTCACTTTGTTTATTGTCTTTGTCTCATCAAACCCATCAATTTGATACTCATATCATAGAGGTTAACCATGGAAGCAATGAATCGCCATCTTTAGCATCTGCCATATTGGATTCAAAATGGCGGCAGTTAATTCATTTTGTATTGTTATGCAAGCCAAATGTGTGCACAAAATTTCAGCTCAACTGATTACAGTTAACTGGTTCAAAATCCATTTCCAAGATGATTTGTTGCAGTCCCACACATACTAACAAACAGGTCAAGTTTATTAGTATGTGTACAAAAGATTGTAAAAAACATTTCCCTAATTTATAAAAAAAATGAAAGGAGCTGCCTCACAAATTATTGAGAAAAGCAAGTGATTTGAAAGAAAACTGATATAAATAGCTAATTAGCAGTGATTGTATCCAACACAGTAAAAACCCATCAATTTCCCAAAATTTCTAATCACCCATCCAGATCAACTTGTTCAAATAAATTATATTGAAAACTTGCGGGGTTATTGTAAATGTTTATAATTATGAAAATGGTTATTATTAACATCAAAATTTCAGCTCAACTGATTACAGTTAACTGGTTCAAAATCCATTTCCAAGATGATTTGTTGCAGTCCCACACATACTAACAAACAGGTCAAGTTTATTAGTATGTGTACAAAAGATTGTAAAAAACATTTCCCTAATTTATAAAAAAAATGAAAGGAGCTGCCTCACAAATTATTGAGAAAAGCAAGTGATTTGAAAGAAAACTGATATAAATAGCTAATTAGCAGTGATTGTATCCAACACAGTAAAAACCCATCAATTTCCCAAAATTTCTGGTTGCATTTAGACTTTCCTGACATTTATGTGGCTTTGCCAATTTTAGATTATCTGGCTATCCTGATTCATAATGTCAAAAACTGTTTCTCATAGACAATAAAAAAATTACAAAACTTACCAATCCAATATTGTCTTTGTATGTATCTTCACAAAAGTAATCTGGCCCTTTGACTGGCATCAGGAAGTTTACGCGAGGTCCAACAATGTACAGATAGATTTCTTCTTTCAAAATTCTATCTGTTATCATTTGTAAGAGTCCCTCTTCAACTGGCTCACCACTCAATAGTTCACTAAAAATTGGTAATCAATGTTGTGTTAATAAGCAACATTATTCATACAAATCCATAAATATATTTTTCAAATTAAATGAATATTTTTTTCAATACAAGTTAGGAATAGCTGAATTTACCTAAATATAATGATCTGTTTGGTGACCACAATTGGATCCTGAAAATCAGTCTTAAGGTGGTGAAATGCCAATCTAAATATGTGACCGAGGTTGAGTGTATTTTCTTCATCAGCAACCAACGCATCTTCAATACAATCTTTAACCTCTTTTAACTTCATTTTGGCCAAATTGTTAGGAAACATTAACAAATTCGGCAGCCTTTTCGAATTTTTGCATTGCTTTACATTTGCCAACATCAAGAGATGTTGGTCTTTTGTATTGAGCTGCTGCCAGCTAACAAATTTTAGGAAATCTTCCAATAGGTGAGAAGAACGTACATCAAACACTACGATTCCAATATCGTGCTTTACTGGGGCCGGCATAGTGTTTACTTATTAATGCGGAAACAAAACAACGTACTCGTTCAATGTTCACACATGTAATAAACAAACCATGCTTGGTTAGTTGGTTTTGGTTACCTTCCATCACAAAACACATAAGACTGATCTGTGATTACTCCACAAAACATATACACTGAAGAAGGTTTAATTCCATGCTATTCAATGGCATCACGGTGACTTGTGTGGTTGTCAGCGGCCATTTTTTGAGGGTGCGACATGGTTGCCAGATTGGGCATTAATATCCCGAAACGTTGCCAGCTCTACATATAAATCTGAGATTGCTATACTTTTATATTTAGAAATTTGGTGGGATATGGGAGATCTTATAACAGCATGTGCTATTAACATTTTGCGCTATCTTGACGAATAAGTGCTATGGTAAAATAACAACGTCAATAACACAAGCTGTTATAAGATCACCCTACTTACTAATCTGGAAAGGTTGAAAAGAAAAACATATATTGCAAATACCTAAATATATATTCATTATATAAATCTGATACATTTTTCTACAAACAAATCAGTGTTAACATCATTATGGTCCACATGTTTCCATTCTCCAACCTTTGTTGGCACCTGCTTAGATAAGAAATTAGGAAACAATTGAATTGTGTTGATATGTTACTACAATTTCAGATTTATTTTTTTATTAGAACAATAATATTATTGTCCATGGGTACCCACAGGAATTTTTCTCAGAGGTGCTGATCATCATCAAGAGATAACTTTTTGTGATTTTTTTGAAGAGCAGAGCAAGCAATTTTCTCAGGAGGGGACAAATCCTATAAATTCTCAAAGTTGTACACAAAAGCATGCTAAATATGCAAACATTAAAGTCAAAGCGGATTCCCAGAAGAGGCCATGGCCCCTCTGACACCACCTTCTGGGCACCCATGTTATTGTTCAATAACAACATGTGGCTTCGATTTCATTGCAACTATAGTGACTTTTGCATATCAACCCTGCTGCTCTGAAACTAGCTGATTTAAAATGAAGTATGGAAACTTTTTTGGACAAGAAGCAGTACAAATCATCACTGGTTATCGAGTCATATACAAACTTACAAATGTTATGGTCTGCAAAAATCCTTCAGAGCTGTGCCTTTTGGTTAGATCAGAAGTAATCTTCCAGCTTCTGATAGTTCTCAGGACCTCAAGGGTTGACAACGGCAGCTGTTGAACTTCTCGTAGCGCTCCACTGTTCAAAAAGTGATGTGGAGATACAAACAGGTACATTTCTCAAATGAGTAACCGCTCCATCTGTGATCTTCCTCAGGATCTGCCAGAAGCCTGGCTACTGACTGGGATCATTTGGATCAACTTAAAAAAAGAAGTGGTTTTGATTTGGAGTTTTTTTCTATTCGTCATTGTCTGTCAGAGCGGTCCGTAGGACCTTTGCTCTTGGTTAATTGGAGTTTGTCTTATAGTATTTACAAAAATATTATAGCTTCAGGTACTTATATTTTTATTCTTTACAACACTGAACAAAAGGCATGTCTCAAATAACATAATAGGGACTTTATTCAATTTAAAATTAAATGTTTATGTTACGCAAAATGAAAATGGCTTGCTGAAAAAGCAAAGTTATTTATGCAAAGCATAGGAAGAAACCCGCCAGAAATTTAAATCTGACCAATCAGACGTCAGTTGTGAATAAGCGGCCATTTTTTGAGGGTGAAACATGGTTGTCATATTGTGCACCAGCAACACTGCTTTGTTTCCCATTCGCCCATATGAATTTCACCCCCTGGATTACTCCATACGGAAGGTAATTGTCCGTGCCGGTATGTGTCATTACACGTTGCCAAGCCTCCATGAAGCCTCGAATCGTCGAACCTCGTATACGATCAGTGAATACGTGATTACTGGTACGGGGAACGGGCAATGGAGTTATGCACGTATCTCAACCACAAAGCAAAATGGTTGCATATACGTCTTATAAGCTTAAATGCACTGCAATATGAAAATAAAATCCATGCGGTGATCAACGAAATTAGGAAGTTAAATAGGTGACAAATATTTGACGAGACAATGTTATGATGTAATTATGAGAACGATATGAATGTACAAATAACATCATTGTTTTTTTATTTCTCGCATTCCACTCATACTACCCATGTGTACCCTATTTCTACTATTCGTGTTCGCTAAATTTTTGAACTTTCAATTTCAACGACCTAGAGCTGTTTGACTAAACCTCTATAATTATTTTTTAATAGCTTTGTGCTGGTTGAATTCCTACCGGGAATTACGGAATAGTTTGTGCTAATCGTTCACAAGCATATCAATAAATATTGTATAACACAGTTGAGACTTGCGATGCCATTATTATCAATAATCGGTACGAAGTACCGGTTACTTTTGTTCAAAGTAATTGGTAACCGTGATTACCGAAAAGTAACCGTTTTTGACATCACTAAAGGTTTAGTCACGTGCTCTCATTTCCAGATGCCACATGGTTGCCAGATTGTACAAACGCTGCATGGGATGTTGCCGTCTCTTTGCAGAAATCTCAGTCTGAATAAGTAGTTACCTAGTTATTTATTAAAGCAACAGCGTCAATAACACAGGCCATCATAAAATCATCCAAATATCCTTGTTATTTGAAATTTTGAGAACAGTAAAAATCTATACTTAAGTGTCAGGAAAGCAGCTAGAATTTGTTGAAGTTCTACGTATTTTCTTTTGTGTGCTTATCTTGGCAATAAAAACCATTTATTATTATTCATTCTCCCATATGAGTTGCCTTCCCAAAAAATTTAATCTTGACTCCTATTGGTCGTAGAAGGTTTTCTAAATATGCGTTTTTTAATCACCCATCCAGATCAACTTGTTCAAATAAATTATATTGAAAACTTGCGGGGTTATTGTAAATGTTTATAATTATGAAAATGGTTATTTTTTAACATCTTTAACAACAATTTTGAGATTAAATAATTTTTGCATAAATTCTTAAATTTGAAACCTTCAAGAATCTATTTCACTTTTGTAAAATTTTCTAGGAAAATACCGTGTGCAAGAACAGTTGTTTAAATAATTCGTCTCTGGGATAAACAATTAGCTTTTGATATAAACTATTAGACCGATCCGGCTGAAATTTAGCACACACATTAACATCACAAATTTTTAGCCATTTACAATAAAGCCCCGTATTTAGCTTAATTGTTTTTCGATTTTAATTCTTAAAAAATAAAATTGAATGTTATTTTATGCTCTAATATCTCTAGTTCACCGATTATTCAGAAAAATTTAATTTGACAATTATACAAGCAAAATACTGAATTTTGAGCTTTTCCCATTGTTTATAAAAAACAACGCATATCTGGCTGTAGCTTCTAATGTATTTGTCATTATAATCACCCCCACCCCTTTCACTTAAAACTTTCAGATTTTATCTGCTAAACTTTTTTACACGAAATACCTATTTTTTTCTCTGTAGCCTGGGGCTGGCCAAATATCCAAATGTTGCTAAAATATATAAATATTCCTTATGTAGCAGTTTGTCAGGACGACACCACCGCAGACCAGTTGGAGTTTGTTGCCCAGTGCACAGTCGGCAGTGGCCTCCCGGACGATGCATCATCGCGCCGTGCAGGCAACGCCAGCGATTGCAAAGTTATTGCGAATTACGAACAAACACAAACATTATACATCGGACATTCATCATGTAATTTTCCCGTTGCTACCGGGATCAGAAGCTGCTTCATGATAGAACGTCTTTGACTAACACTAAAGACGTTACATTCATAGGCCCCTACCCCCTAAGACCTCGAGCCCCCAAGTTTTAACCCTACAAAGAATTTTCCGAAAATGATCAGAAGCCTCTGAAACGACAAAAAACGAAGTTTGAGTGATTTTTATTTTTTTCGTGTTTTTGCCCTGACTTACCCTAATCGTAGTCCATTTACGCCCCGGCACAACAAAGATGCAGCGCGGCAAAGCGGCAGCCGTCTACGTTTCCTTCAGCAATGCTTCCTCTTCAGTGATGTCTCCTCCCCGAAACGTGAACAAGAAGGGACATTTGAATAATTAGGCAAAATAAATTGTCCTTAACGTTTATAAAAGAGAAATTTTAGACCACCCTGAAATGAAAATTCATGATATTGAAAGACGTGTGGCGAAGAAAACAGGCTTATGTCCTAAAACAATTTTCAGCATTGTTAAAGAATATGAAAAAACCAAAAACTGTCTCCACCACACAAGAAGCTGCATTACACGAAGCTGTTGGAAACAGTTGATAACTTTGATTGGAATGCCATCAGACGCAAAGTCCATCAATTTTTCCCACCATAGTAAAAGTATTACAGGAGGCTTGATGAAGACTTACCTACTTTCAAATGGACCACATTCTACAGTTTACTTAAAGAACTTCATTTTGAGTATAGAAAACGGGACAGAAATAGTATTTTGATTGACAGCTAAGAGATTATTTTATGGAGAAGAAATTATTGAAAATCCCGCTACCAGGGCAGGAAGATTTATTACTTAGATGAAACCTGGATAAATACAGAACATACAAAACTTAAAGTATGGACTGACTCTACAATTGAATCAGCAAGACAAGCCTTCTTAGATGGACTAACAATAGAACATTCAGATTTTCTTACGTGAAATTTTTGTTTTATGAAACTGTCAACAGAGTGACAGCAACCCAATCGAAACAAAGATGTGGGATCTGGAAAATATGATCGATATTCAAATTGTAATAATTAATATTAACCATTCGGACGATGATTCAAGTACCTCCAACGAATAAAGAATTGTGAAACGTATGTGCACCTCTTTCTATAAAAATAATCATTTATTTTGTTAGATCATTCCAAGACCATTGATAAAAATATGGACCTGTACAATCTCGCTTTTGGGCATGTTGTGTTTTGTCTGCTCGTAAATGGTCTACGAACGAAGTATGGACCGAAGTGCAAAAATTTTTCATTCCTAGCATAATAGTGCGTAAAAATTTGAACAAAATCCGAGGGGTACTTCAAGTTATAAAACACAGACAGACAGACCGATGAAATTGAGTGACATGGTTTTTCGTGATTTACCTGTTATGTAACATCCAAAAAACATTAACTTCCTCGCCAGTTGTGGCACGGAAAGTAAAAATAGACAACTTAACTCCTCTAAGAAATAGGTTAGCTACAAACATGTATAAAAAAAAAATAAATGGATAAAGTCCATAATTTCCACACATGTGACAACGTTACGACCTAGAAGTTTCTTCCCTTGCCGTAACAGTAGTACAGGCCATCTGGAAATGTTTCTAT